AAGTGCAGCTAGAGTGCTCCTTAGAGGCCAAGATGGCCAAACTTTGCCTCTCATACTTTAGACAAATTGTCAAGAGGGACCAGTCACTAGACAAGGATATCATGTTTGGTAAGACGAAGGTCAGAGAAAAAGAGGAAGACACCCAAAGAGATGGATTAGTCAAGTGGCAGCATCGATGGACTCAAGCGTGGCAACAGTAGTGAGGTTGACCCAGGATTGAGCAGTGTTTTGTTCTGCTGTGCATAGGGTCACTATGAGTCAGTACTGACTCAATAGCACCTAACAACAACAACAACAATATCTAGATTGAATTTTGAGTGGCATTGTCATGTATGTCAATCTTAGATTGTTGGTTCTCAGTGCAAAGAAATTTCTTTACTATTTTTCTCAAAGTTGGTCTGATTGCTACAAATTTCTTTGGTTTTGTTTATCTGAAATTGTTCTAATTTCTCTATCATACTCGATAGATAATTTTTCTGTGTATATGATTCTTCGTTGGGAATTTTTTTTCTTTCAAAATTTTGTTTATGTCTTTCCATTGCTTTCTTAACTGCATAATTTCTGCTTCGAAATCAGAGTTTAGTCTGCTTTCAGATTCTTTCCTTGTCTTTGATTTTGGAGTGTGAAGTATGATATGTCATTTTATTTTCGGATCTATCCTGTTTGGCATTCATTCAGCATCTTGAATGCTTGTTTTCTCATCTTTCATGATTTTAGGAAAGTTTTCTCCCAACAATTCTTCAACTTTTTTTTTTTTTTTTTAATGTGCTTTGCTTTGTATCTTCCTGTTCTAGAACTCTGATCACCTTTAAGTTACTCCTCTTCATGATTCCACATGAATCTTAGGCTTTCTTTGGATTTTATCCTTCTTTTTTTCTGATTGTTCTTTTAGATTACTAGTATTGAGAAATTTAGCTTTAAGGTCACTAATTTGGGTTTCCATTCAAATCTATTTCTTTGCCCTTTCAATGTATTTTCCATTACTGAAATCTTAGTATTAATAATCTGGATTTCTATTTTCAGGTTTTGTATTGTCTCCAGTCGTTTATCAGCTTTGTTTGTTTGTGCTTTTAGTGTTTTCTTGAATTTTTCTTTGTTTTCCTGGACCTTTCTATCAATCATTTGGAAGGTATCTTAATGTTAGTCTCTTGAATTCTTTCTCAGGGAGTTCCAATGCCTTTTGGTCCTCAAAAATGTTTTCTAGTTCTTCCTATTCGTCACTTGTTGAAACCACTCCATATTATTTTTTCATGAGAATGGAAGTTATCTTTGCTTCTAAGATATTTTGGTATCATTGTATTTGTATTTAATTGGTGATTGTATATTGTTGTAGTCATAGGCAATCATCAACTGCTTCCTGGTGGGTGTGATTAGAGAATGGAAACATGTACACTATTCTCGGTTAACTGTGCAGGCCTCTCAGTTTAGGGTGGGTTCAGCAGATTTTATTGTTGTTGTTGTTGATCAGGAATATAGCAGTTGGTATTGGCTATTGTCCAATGGGTGGGACTTCAGAGGGTGTGGCTATGGCTGTGTTTTATGGGCACAATTGTTGTCTCCTGTCAGGTGAGGTAGCAAGAGAAAGCATACACACAAGAAATTAAACAATGTTGAGCAAACAACAGTAAAAAAAGAAAATACTAAAGGAGAGGCAGGGAAAGCAAGCAACAGCTGGAAAAAGACTACAATAACAAAAAGAAGAAAAGAGGGAGCAAAAATAAAAAATAAACTAAAACCACAGAAGAGAAAATAAAAAGAATGGAAAAACACTAAACACAATTAGGAAGTGAGAGGAGTAAAAGTGAAAGAGACTAGAAAATGGCTAAGGAAAATCAAGAGCAAAAATTATAGAAAGAAGAAGTGAGGGTGAGGAGGAGAAAGAGGAACAAAGAAAAAAAGGACAAAATGAAGGCAGAAATAGAAAGGATAGAAAGCAAGTGAAGCTAAAGAGAGGAAAAAGGGGGAAAAAGAATAAACAAAATCAAGGAAAGAAAAAAAGAACAAGGCACATATCAGACCCAGAGAAGAGTAAACAATGGGGGCTTCTGTCAGCTAAGGAGCTCACTTGGTGAGTGAGCAAGGGATGAGATAGTGCTCTTGACCCTAGGTGGAGCTCCTATAGGCTAGGTGTTTTGCTTTTTGGACACCCAATCTGGAAGTAGTTCGTGCAGACACTAAAGAAGTTGGGGTCAAGGTTTCTCTGTCCCAATGGGCAGCCAGAGTGAGTGTTCCCACTAATCCAGAGCTGGCTAGAACTGGCTTTCAGATCTGGGGCCAACCTCAAGTGAATCCAGGCACCAGAGTTGGTAAAGACAGCTCACTACTCTCTTTGATGTGCCTCTCAATTGCGTGACTCACCACTCTGTGGTTTTCATCATCAGAGAGTTGGAGTTTTGCTCAAGGTGTATGCAAGTGGGGGCCAGTCACACCTCTGGTCAACAGGGGAGTATAAGGGACAAGAAAAAAAAAAATGACCTTTATCTCCACAAATTACTGGTATGCCTCTCAACAACTAAGCTTCTGTCTTTTCTCTAGAGCTGCTCATGAAAGTTTAAGATGGCCACACTGCGTCTTGTCCGCCAGCACAGGTCACCAGTCTTTCTCATCATTTCTGTTCAGTTTCCTTTTCTAGTACTCATTCAGCCCCCTTCTCTATCCCTTCCTCAGAACCTCGGTTCTGGGACTATCATCTGTGGCTGTTTCATTTGGTTTTCTGTATCTTTGTTGTAGAGGGTCTGTGTAGCATTTCTGCCTTGTCCTCCAACATTGCCGCCTTCTTCCTTAGTAAGTTTTCTTGCTTTCAGCCTTCCTTCATTCCTCTTTTCACTCTGTTCTCAATACAGCAGTTGTAAAATGACCCTTTAAAAATCCAAGTCAGACTGTGTTGCTCTTTTGCTTAAAACTCTACATTGACTTTCCATCCGATTCAGAATTTTAGCATGAATTATCACTAATGCCCTACGGGAATGATACCCCTGTTTTTTTTAGGAGCTTTTATCCTATTATTCTGCTGCAGGTGTCAGCCTCACTGTTTTTGGTGTAGTGCTATAGGATGAGCACTGGACTGCTAACGATGATGTCAGCAGTTCAAACCCACCAGCTGCTCCTTGGAAACCCTATACAAGGTTGCTATGAGTCAAAACTGACTCGACAGCACCTAATAACACTACCCCAAGGTGTTAGGTTTGGAATTCTACTTCCTCAAGTATCCACATTGATATTTTGCCTCATCTTTTCTTAATCTTTGCTAAATGTCACATTCTCTATGAGTCTTTCCCAACAACTCTATTAAAAACGGTGCGCTTCTTTGCTCTATTGCTGTAACATTTATAGTTACTTAATATATGTGTACTATATAATTTTACTTGTCTGTTTTGTTCATCTTTCTGCTCTTACTAGGATATAAGTTCCATTAGAATAGAGAATAGGGAATCTGTTCTCTGTTATATTTTCCCTAGAGCTTGAAACAGTGCCTGGCATGTAATAGGTCTTCAATAAAGACACATTTTTTTAATGAAGTGGGAGTGAGAGCAAGAAACCAGATTAAATGGGCTTTATTAGACCTGTTCTATAAGACTATATTTATATTTTGAAGTCCTGGTATGGTACTGTGGGATAAAGGACTGGATCACAAGGTCAGTTTGAACAGCAAAGTCAGCATTTCAAACTCACCAGCCACCCCTTAGAAGCCATATACAGGGTCACTATGAGTCAGAATCAATTCTACAGCACTTAACAACAACAACAACAACAGCATTTATATCACATTCTAGAACTATTCACAAGGGACAATAATAGAGAGAAAACATCTAAATCAGACTAGGATTCAAGGAAGACTGTTTATTAAGTGATAGGTTGGTTCAAGCATTGGAATGGGGAAGTGGAAAGAAGAGAGACCTTGAACATTTAAACAACTTCTATTTAAAATATTTCTGTGTTTTGTTATTTCGTCATTTAAGGATTTGAAAAATTGTTAAAAAGTAAATTGTCAGAATCCTATAGAGGAAGTTGTTCTTAAGTACCATGGAGTTGGTTCCGACTCATAGTGAACCTGCCCAGGGTTTCTGAGGCTGTAAATCTTCACGGGAGCAGAACGCCTCATCTTTCTCCAGCATAACAGCTGTTAGTTTTGAACTGCTGACCTTGAGGTTAGCAGCCCGATTCGTAACCACTATGCTACCAGAGCTCCTTTATAGAGGAAGTTAGTTCTGTAAAAATTGTAACAGAAAAGTCTAAATTGCATTCGTGATGGGTTGTTGTTGTTGTTAAGTACCATTGAATTGGTTCCAACTCTTAGCAACCCTGTATGGGGCTTCTGAGGAGCAGCTGAGGGGTTTGAACCATTGAACTTACGGTTAGCAGTCCAATGCTTATCCTACAGAGCCATAGCAGACCCCATGAGTATGGTTGGAAAATCTTCCATTGAAAAACCAGCTTATATTTTAAATAGTTATCAGTATGTTGTTGTTAGATGCCATTGAGTTGGCACCGACTAATAGTGACCCTATGTACAGCAGAACGAAACAATGTCCAGTCCTGGGCCAACCTCACTACTGTTGAGTCCATAGATGCTGCCACCTGGCCAATCCATCTCATTGGGGGTCTTCCCCTTTTTCTCCCACCCTCCATCTTACCAAGCATGATATCCTTCTCCAGTGACTGTTCCCTCCTGAAAATATGTCCAGTTTTCAGTATAGATAATATAAAATGTAGTTAGACTAATAAACTTATAGACTGTTTGAAAATCTTATTTTAATTGCTGTACATAATTTGTGTAATGCTCTTCCAGCTGTGGTGTACAAAAGAGATATGAAAAACTATGTAGCCAATTTTTCCCAGAAAATTGCTCATGTTTGAATGCTGTAAGTCAGCTTCTATTTGTAGCATCATTTTGTATCTCTTATTTTGACAAATGCAAAATGAGACCAACATTTCAGACCATAATTTTTAGCTATAAATACCTGACTAAATAATATTTGTTTTCGTTTTTCTTTTTTAAGATAACCTGCCGAAACTTCATTGGGAAACAGCTCAAGATTAATCCTCCAACCAGTAAAGTGACAACTGCAGAAAACTGGGCAGATGTACTAAGAAAGCTTGTAATCTCAGGTCAGAAGCAATATTAGATTGAAGTCCTTCCTATTTTCTTTAAAGCAGCGTTTATTGTTGTGTTCTGCATGATAAATCATCCATAGTTAAAATGTTTGGAAAATTTCTTTTCTAGATCTATTTGTCTGAAAGCAATCCATATGATATTGCTAACTTATTTTGCTGTGAATGTCATTTAAGATGAATAAAAATACATTTTTGTTAATGTTTATGTTAATGAAGGTAATAAAAGGAAAGGTGATGAGAAATTAATAGGGCAGTAAAGATGGAGGAAGCTGTTTTGTACACCTTCCCTTGTTGTTTGTTTTGCTTTATTTGTTGTTTCACTCAGGATGCCTTCACATTGACCTTTTGACATTTCTTTATTCTAACTTGACTCTCATAATAGCTTCCATTTCCATAAACTAAACATAGTATTTATTTGTTACTTTTTATTGTGAATTGAGTGAAGGTTTACAGACAAGATTATCAGTTTTAAATTCAACAAATAATAAAATCATGCGCTTTGTTTCATCTCAATGATTGCAATCCCCTCCATGGAACAACAGTCATCCAATTCCTCCCCGTGGCTCCTAGTTCCCTTCCACCTACCTTCCCATCCCTTCTGACCATTGTCCTTAGGTACATGTTGCCCCTTTGATTTTGAATGATTGACTGTTCCATCCTTCATTGTGAGTATATCTTACTAGTGTTGTTCTCCCTGTACACGTGTCTACTGCCTGGTTGAAAGTTGTTTCCCCTATATGCCTGTGTACTGCTATGTTGAAAGAGGGTAGTATTCCATTGTGTGTACGTACCAAAGTTTTTTTATCCATTCATTCAGTGTTGATTTTTTTCTAATATCGAACCATCCTTGCATCCCTGGAATGAATTGCACTTGGTCATGATAAATTTTTTTGATACATTGTTGAATTCTGTTGAGAATTTTTTCATCTATGTTCATGAGGGATATCAGTCTATAATTTTCTTTTTTCTAGTGATGTCCTTACCTGGTTTTGGTATGAGAGTTATGCTTACTTAATAAAATGTATTCACAAGTTTTTCCATCCTTTTCTATATTCTGGAATAGTTTGAGTAAAACTGGTGTCAGCTCCTCTCTGAATGTTTGGTAAAATTTACCAGTGAAGCCATATTGGTCTGCACTTTTTATGTTGTTGCAAGTTTTTTAATTTTTCTTTTGTGATAGGTCTGTTTAAGTTTTCTACTTCACTATAAATAGAGTGTTTTCCCATTGGCTTTTCTTTGGTGAAGTTGTGGGTCATCCAAGTAGACCATAAAAGAAAGTGTGGGAATGGCATTTCTTTGCGTTTCTTGGATAAGCCATCTTGGGATGCTTTTGGCAGTGCAGCTTGTAGGACCCAGACAGTGGAATGATATAGAAATGGAAATAATGCCTGCTCTGAATGGCACTTTCTCTGTGTCTGTTTCTGGCATAGAAAAGAAGTTTCTTTCCTTTGAAGTGTTAGGATTATTTCACCTATATATATCTATTCATTTTGTTTTTATTTTATATATGTCTGTGTGTTTTCATGTATTCATTAATTTATCCAGTAAACATTAATGAGGAAGGGAGAAGTTTAAGTTTATGTGATAAGTGATGTATTATGCAATGAGAGTACAAAGATGAATGAAACTTACTTTTTGTCATTCAGGAGCTTACAATCTATTGACAGAGACCAGTAAATAAAGCAGCCATTGTAGTATAGACTGATAGGAACTGTAATATTACTGCTGCTGCAATAAGCAGTAATAGCTGGAAGCTACTTTTGGGAGACTGCACGTAATTCATTGGAACAATAGAAAAAGGAAAAGGCAAAAGCTGAGGTGAGAAAGGCTGACAAAACTTAGATACTAATGAATCTTAACAAGGAGGACATAGACATCCTGGATTTCCAAAGGAGAATTAGTGAAGGAGTTAAAAGATAAAAGAGAAATAACCGTATTCACATTCTCGAACCTTCGGCAGTAGTGTGGTGAATGGGCTGGAAGGAGAACATGTGGAAGCAGAGAACAGCTACTGCTGGCTTGTGTGTGATAGTAGCCACAATGAAGGCTTAAACTTAGGCAGTCAGAATAGAGTGCTGGGCAGAGAGAGACAGGAAACCTGCAGGTTAGATGCCAGATATGAATGAGGAAGGGAGACGTTCAAGTTGTCTTGGTTTCTGGCTTGACTGGTGAGATGAATTGCAGTGCTTTCCTCTCAGTCAGGGAAATTGAAGGAGAAAGAGCAGCTTAGAGTAAAGGATGCTTTTCTGATAACTGGGTAGAACAATCCAGTCTATTGTTGGATGACTAGATATACTAGTAAAGCACTCTCAAATAGGTGGGTTGGAGACTGGCTCTTTAGTCATCCATATATTGGTGAGAGTTGACGTCAAAGACTTGCATGAGATAACCCCAGCAAAGTTATGTGGAGTGTAGATCTGAGGATGGCCTCCTGAATTAAGCTGTAAGAACTGAGGAAAAAAATCAAGCCTTGACTTTCAATACTGAAAGATTCTATGGGCAAAATATTGAATGATGTAGAAAGCATCAAAAGAAGATGGAAGGAATACACAGAATCACTGTACCAAAATAAATGGTTGATGTTCAAACATTTCAAGAGGTGACATATGACCAAGAGCCAATGGTACTGAAGGAAGAAGTCCAAGGTGCACTGAAGGCATTGTGTGAAACAAGACTCCAGGAACTGATGAAATACAAATGGAAGTGTTTCAACAAACTGATACAGCACTGGAGACGCTTGCTCATCTATGCCAAGAAATTTGGAAGATAGTTACCTGGCCAAGTGATTGAAAGAGGTCCAGATTTTTGCCCATTCCAAAGGGAGGTGACCCAACGAAATGCAGATATCATTGGACAATACCATTAATATCACATGCAAGTAAAATTTTGCAAAAAATAATTTAAAAATGACTGCAAAAGCATTGACAGGGAACGGGAACGACCAGAGGTTCAAACTGGATTCAGACAAGGATGTGGAATGAAGGATATCAGTGCTGACATCAGATAGATCTTGGCTGAAAGCAGAGGATACCAGAAAGAATTTTACCTGTGTTTTATTGACTCATAAAAACTTTCAACTGTGTGAATCATGACAAACTGTGGACAACATTACAGAGTATGACTATTCTGGAACACATAGAATTGTGCTCATGGGAACCTGTACATAGACCAAGTGGCAGTTATTCAAACAATACAAGAGGACACTGAATGGCTTAAAATCAGGAAAGGTGTATACCAGGGTTGTATTGTTTCACTATACTTATTCATTCTGTATGCTGAACAAATAATCTTCGAAACTGAATCATATGAAGAACGTGTTATTAGGTTCGAAGGAAGAATTTTTAGCAATCTGCGATATGCAGATGATGTAACCTTGCTTGCTTAAAGTGTCGTTGTTGTTGTTACGTGCCATTGAGTTGGTTCCAACCCATAGCAACCTTGTGTAGGGTTTCTGAGGGGTGGCTGGTTAGCTTGAACCACCAACTGTGAGGTACAAATGACTTTGCAGTCCAGCGCATTAATTCACAGCACCACACCAGGACTCCTGCTGAAAGTGAAGAGGACTTAAAATACTGGTAAAGATCAAAGACCACGCCTTTTGGTATGTATTGTACTGCAATATAAAGATGACAAAAATCCTCACAACTTGACAAATAAATAGCATCATGACAACTGGAAAAAAGATTGAAGTTGTCAAAGACTTCAGTTTTCTTGGATCCACCATCAACACTCATGGAAGAAGCAGTCAAGAAATCAAATGACATATTGCTTTAGGCAAATCTGCACAAGACCTCTTTAAAGTGTTCAAGAGCAAGAATGTCAGTTTGAAGACTAAAGTGCACCTGACCCAAGCCTTGGTATTTTCAGTAGCCTCATATGCATGCAAGTGTTGGATAATGAATAAGGAAGACTTGGTGATGTAGAAGAATTGATGCATTTGAGTTATGGTGTCTTAGAAGACTATTAAAAATACTATGAACTGCCAGAAGAACAAACAAATCTGTGTTGGAAAAAGTACAACCAGAATGTTCCTTAGAAGACAAGATATCTAGACTTCATCTCTTATACTTCAGACATTTTATAAGGAGGGACCAATCCCTGAAGAAGGACATCATGCTTGGTAAAGTGAAGGGTCAACGAAAAAGAGGGAGTCCCCCAATGAAATGGGTTGGCACAGCGACAGCTGCAATGGGCTCAAGCAACAATTGTGAGGCTGGTCCTGGAGCAGGCAGTGTTTCCTTCTGTCGTCCATAAGGTTGCTATGAGTCAGAACCAACTCAGTGGCACCTAATAACAACAAGTCAGAGACCAAGTGCACAGAACTGTCTACTGTATTTGGCAATATGGCTATCATGTGTTTGACAATAATGTCACTGGCCTTTTTGCTAATGTACACCCACCTTAGTGCCTTGCTTTAGCTGTCCCCTTCCTGATCTGATCTCCCCAATCCAGATACCTGATCGGCAAACTCCTCACTGCCTTTCAGTATTTGTTCACATTTTTTTTTTTTAGTGAGGCTTACCCTGACCCATCCTATTTAAAATTGCTCTTTGCCCACTCTCTCTCATTTCCCTTTACTCTGCTTGACTGTTTTGTTTTCTGAAGCAGTTACCACTGAGTTTTATACTGTATAGAATTTAGTTGG